AGAATTTACCAACATGAAGGTCCGTGGTTTGAACCCGACATCTGTCTCTCGACTTCCCGTCTAGGCTTTGGCAAACTGGCAGTATCCCAGCCCTCGTGCTTCCTTCGGGTGGCGTGGCAGCTAGGCACCGAAAGGGTGCTATAGCTGAACGAAATTAGCCGGATTCACTATTAAGCCGTTCGATGACTATGTGCACTTGTTTGAGCAAAGTACTCAAGTGCAGTGGTCTCTCGTACCTCCTGTTTATGACTACTCCATCCATACAACTGAACTTTCTTAAGTTGCAGTGTCTAAGTGTTCTTGAATGACTTAACTCACAGAGGATATCCTTAGAACTCAGCGCAGAAAACGAATGAGGCGTAACTAAACACATAACATATTGCACTTTGATTTTGCACAGCCCTTGAAAGTGAGTTTACCCTTTCACACACATGTTGTTGTTTCTTAATTCACCTGAGCTGCGAAGAACTTAAATCTAAAAATTCTCTACTCAGTAGGGCGCCGGATTCTGAAATCTAAAATCCAGGTGTCGCACACAACACCAGTAACACAGAACTGTCCTTTTTAACGGTGACTTCTGGTCGCCGAAACAAGACTGTGTCAAGTAGATCATAAGGTTGACAGAAACTCGGGGACTGCGCCTACCTGATGAGCCCGAAGCGAAGGTCGAAACCGGTCGTGTGCTGTCGAAGACTTTTCAGCAACCTTGTGAGTAGTTTCCTTCATGAAAAAGACTGTGTCCTCTCCCAAGCTAGTCAATCATTGGTAACTCACAATGACAAAACGTGTTAAATCCGATAAAAATGAAACACTGATAATCAATCACGATACGAGTGCACTTCCAAAAACATACTATTATTAGACAGCGGTCAGCCTTAGGCCCTGCTGATAAACGTAGTTTGCTGTTGACTCAGTAACGTTGCCACGGTAACCACGGATGAGTAGGTGGGCGATAACACAGCGGCGGGCGTCATCTGGGTCAGACAACCAAACACGGACCTTTGCGGGTTTGCACCACTCTCCATTCTGGAGTGTAGTTAGGGTGTGGCCACAGTGGAAACAGAATAATCAATGCCCCGAGGTCATATCGCGATGGAATTACTGCAGCGAGGAAGCCTAGGCAAGCGGATGTGGTCATGGTGAAACGGTCGAACCCACTTCAAATTCCCCACTTTGCTCCTGTGGATTTTGGTGTTCCTTATTTGGAATGAATTTTACGTACCTACTGAAGTTCCGCAAGGCAATATTCCAAATAATTCAACTGCTCAGAGGGGAAAATTCCCGCCAGTTGCATAAATTTGCTATCTGGAAATCGTCACTCAAAAAGAAAGTCAATATTGGATCACATGACATGGACAATATGACTGGTAGTGTGAGTGAAGCGACCCACTGATCATTGCAGTGATCAGCTAGTAAACAGAAAGTCATTGGATCGGTGTGATAAACCTAGGATGGTGCTGGAAGTCACGCGGCCAGCATTCTATAGACCAAGGTAAGTTGAACAGTGCCTACCATGATGAATCATACCTCTTTAGCCAACCAGTACGGTGGACACTGTCATTTTCGTACGAATGGCCTGCGGAACTGCGGAGTATGCCCAGACGGGAATACGAGTACATTCTACACAAACGATAGTCTAAGAGAGTTCCCCATTCCACATTCTAAAAGCCGTCCCTCCAGTCCTTCTGCGTGTTTCCTTTACAGTCTGCTGTTTTCTTGGGAGTTGTCAGCCCAACTTGATAAGCATTGAACTTGTCACCTACAGATCCGCTAGTTCTTCAGAATAAGGACGAGTGCAGAATGGAAATTTGACGAAGTACAATCTCCATAGGTTTATCAGGCGTCTACTGTCGGAGCAGAACGTAAAAATGTTCACGGTCGGTGCGCCTGAAACAAGCTGAACGCACGACATCGACGAGATAATGGTCTGAGGAAAAGGCAACACGGGCCACCACGGACAATATTTATATCGGATGGCGATATGATGTCAGAAGAATGAAACATGTATGACCGCAAATGATGTGTGACACTGAAGATGATCTCTCTCTCTCTCTAACATCAATGTTAGTTCGTATTTCCGTGGACCTATAGAGATTTGGACGAGGGTTCAACGGCAGGAGATCTCATGTCCTGGCACTGTACTACGCTGTGACTTATCAACGAAAAAAGTAGCAAGATTAAACAAAGGGCGCGTGCGAAATGCGCTACGTTTTACTAGTCAGGTTGGAGAACAATAAGCGGCAAAACTATCATTTTCAGTCCAGCCACCTGTTGACCGATTCATTCATCTGATTACTGGTAAGCAGTCAAAATGTTTGAGGTGAGTATCCGAAGGGTTTTAAGTGTCACATCCATGTATCTTTTCGAGGTAAGACCACAAGCTTGCATTGAAATATGCCATTTTAAAGATGGCGGCTTGTTGGAACAATCTATGTATCTATCCCACGTGTGTCACAGAATCAGAATCCTTTGCTTGACAGACACTGGGATTGTGCAGTCCAGTTTTGTCAGCCAAAGGAGCAGTTGGTTCGCAAGCAAGCACTCATGCTCCAGTCATTTAGGAATTTCTCCGTTTACTAAAAGAAACTATTCGGTAACGACCAGAAGGAAAGACACACTACAGGACATCCTTGGAAAGACAGTAGCCACTTTGATGTTGCCGAATTTTCGGTCAACTAAAGAACCAACTGGCAGTGTTCTGCATAATTCCATCAAACGATGCAGCAGCTTGGATCAGTGTGAGATGCCAGCGCAATATACGAATGAATGAAATTCTCCGGGAAAGAGACAAGTTCTATTCTACAACTGAATGTGCTGCACACAGGCCGCCTTATGATTCAGTTGGGACGATAGTCGAGATATCGCAGTATATCTTCATAAAGGAAGCTACTCACAAGGTTGCTGAAAAGTCTTCGACAGCCCACGACCGGTTTCGCCCTTCTTGGGGCTCATCAGGTAGGCGCAGTTCCCCAGTTTCCGTCAAACTTATGCTCTACTTGAACCCAAATTGGACTGTTTTCGAGAAATACACTCATAACAAAAGGTTGACGGGAATTCGGGACCTGCGCCCACCTGACGAGCTCCAAGAAGGGTGAAGCCGGTCGTGGGCTGTCGAAGAGTTCTTAGCAACCTTGTGAGTAGGTTCCTTTATGATTGAGGCCTTCATTATTCCTTCTAAGCTAGCAGGCTGATCACCTTCGGCTTTCATTTGGGCCGTGTTAGTGAGTTGGTCGCTAGCCAGTCTACCATGGGTTATTTTCTCCTCCAAAAGCCATTAGGAATAACTCAGAATTTCCGGTCTGATATTCTCGCTAGAACGAGGCAACCGTTCGAAACCACCGGCGGTTCCACACGGAACATGCAGGTCACTGTTTCGATCACAATAAAGTGTAATTCACACGGCAGTGCTGTACACACTGTCTAACATAAACAAGCTGATATTGTGATGATCTCCAAGTTTTTAGTCATCTAGTTTCAAGAAGAGCTTTATACTTCGGTATTCCATCGACCCTAATTGATCTGCCCAGGTGAGTGAACCGAACTATCACAACGACTGGGTTCAATCCAATCAATTATTGAAGTTAGGGAGCATAAACCACACTGTTTCGCCTAATCACTCGGGTTGTTTAAGTTATCTACTTCTGAGCGATGAAATCCAAAAAGAACAATCGATCCAGTGTACTCAGTGTGCGCAACTGTTGGACAGTCACTATAAAGCAGCAGAAAAAGTCGAAGTGAGTTGAAAAGTGATGTAACTAAAGGCAGCATTACATACCATCGGGTGACTGCGTGTCGGCGAGATCAAACGATGGGTGTGCGGTAGACATTAGGATCAAATGGACCGAACCCATTCAAGAGGGGCACATAGTGATCTAGTTTGCATGGCTGGAAGCCAGTTTATTTGGCTTTCACAACCAACAACTATCGAAGATGACATGAATTAGTAGCGTCCTATTTCGAGCTAAGGAACGTTGGAACGCCCGACGAGTTTGGTGCACAAAAACAAAATGTGCTGGCTAAAAGTAGACCAAATATGTTGTTACTTCTGGATGGGGAATGTGGAGACCAAATGGACATCACAAAATAAAGCACGTTGACTGGTCAACGCATCGGCTTTACAAGTGCCTTCGTCAGCCAAATCTTAACGACGGTTCAACAGTCTTAAATATAATACGTACTGCAACCTTATCAATATATGAGAAGCAACTTATCCACACTAGTTGATTTTTTTTCATGACAATTTACGTACATTATACCAAACGTTGGAGTTTCTATCCATGTGTCTACTGAAGAAGACTTACTGAGAAAAGGTACGGAAGCGGTTGCCATAAAGGTGTGTATCCACCTCCTCTAAAGCTCTGGCGACGCTGTGACTATTCCTCTTTAATCCACGAGGTAAAACAATGGTGAGTCATGCATAAGCAAATGAACTGGTCCGAACGAGCCAGGCACTGCTCGGCCTCGTAGGCGACAGAGCTCCATGATTGGCCCGTTATACGCGAACGCTGATTGGCTAAGTGTGATGTCTGACTTCGCAGCTGATTTGTCGCGCAGCTGTAGCCTATCGCCTCGGTCACAAGTTGCGCCAGACAAATCGACAAAAGAGTTGCCCTCCTCGTAATGGGAGAGTGAAGAAACTGGCCAAATTCGGTCCTGCAGACGCAGGTACTACAAAAAGCATATCTGCAAACTACCATTCTTGAGTCAGATCGGCGGCACCTATTTCTCTGGAAATCACGGTAGTAAGAAAGACAGGGTTCCGTATTTGCTCCCGGTATGAAGGCAAATATCACTTTTGTCGTTCGCATCTATCGCCTAAATGGGTAATCTTGACCACAAAGGGAGACACTAAAATGCTTCCTAGATTAATGGAAAAGAAGGTTATAGGGGAAAAGACAAGCTCATACAATTGTAAATTAATAATCCAGAGGAGCGAGGCCAGCTTGCATTTAGAGAGAGCATCCGGAGATTTAAAAATAGGTTTTACAGGCGTCAGCGAGATGTTTCGGCAGGATGCATAATCGACTGATGAGCAGTACCATTGTAACGGTGATACTACTGATGGGTGGGGCATGCGAGTAGTGTGTTTTCTCGTAAATTCGCTTTGCGCCTCTTGAAAAGTGAGATCTATTACGGAATTCGTGGAGTCACTTTGTAGCATTTGCTTGGATTTGAGCAACAGTCAACGAATATCCAGAAAAGTTTAGGAAGACGCTTTCAAGAAAGGATGGACGTTTAGATTTTGGAAACAAGATGCAAATGAGAGTTTTGCTTCCCTGTCCAATAGTCTGTGATTGGTCAGTTGGCAGTTCCTAATAAGTAACTCTGCAGCGAAGGACCTTTTTCACCACAACGTGACGATTTAAGCTTCAACTTATTCATTGTACCCTGAAGTCGTCGACAAAAGGATGTTTATACAGGAGCGGTGCCGTTGTGCAATTTGAGAACTTACTGGGAGATTAGTAGGTCAGAACAAAACAGGAAATTAGAGAGAACAAAACAAAACGCCAAGCTTTCTTGTAAGCGTTTCGAATTATAGTATGCAGACAGATAAGCTGAATAGCGTACAACTGAAATGCGCTGGTAACCCTATCCCTCAGCGTCCGCGATCGAATTCAGCAAGGGTCATAGGGAGCCGTTCTAGATGACGTGTTTTTCTGGTATTTAGTTCAATGGGTATCTGTTCTCAAATAGGCGGGTAAAGTGTTACCGATAGTTTTAGAAGACGCCTAGTTATCACGGGTTACTGTTGTCACATGGTGGAGTTCAGATTGAAAGAAACCTATTGCTTTGGAATAGAGTCGGATAGATTGGGCTAGCTCTGGTAATTCTCATCAAAAACAGTTGATCAAAGAAACATCAGTAGGCTAGGTCGGATATTTGTGAGAGTTGATTGACGAAAGCGTGGAGGTCCACTACTAGACAACTTAACTGTCCTTCAGTTTTTTGCGGGACGTCTACGACCAAGTGACGCTTGCTTTGCTTTCAAACTATCGACCGTAAAAGACTCTAATACGTTGGAAATCCACTTGCGTCGCAGGTTGCGTCTCCTTCTCACTTAACAAAGTGTCAATTACGTAAACACACGGACCTTGTGGCTTATTCACCTGCAGTTCGGTAGTAATTTTGGGTAACTTGGTGGAATATCGGTACAGACAGCTGTCGAATAAAACATCCACCTGAAGATCACTTTTCCAGAATGATATCGGAAACAAGTACGCGGCTTGCGTTGAAAAGGTCAGAATGAGAGTGAATAAGTTTCAGTTCCATCAGTGAAGGTGCTTGCAGTGTGAGTATCAACAGTCTGTTTTCCCAAGCTTGAGACCGTCTTGTCAATGCCCAGCAAGTTCCTGCACTTGGAGGAGATTCGCACTCTAGAGTATTCATGCAGAGGTGGCTGGTGCATATGATGGAAATGTGGGTAAATTTACTCAGCGTGATGGCGAGATGGCTCGATTGGTTATAGCGCGAATTTACTGACCGGAAGGTCCGGGGTTCGAACCCGACCGCCGACCGGAAGGTCCGGGGTTCGAACCCGATCGCCGCTTCTCGACCTCCCCTGTCTAGCCTTGGGTAACCTGGCAGTATCCCAGCCCTCATGCTTCCTTCGGGTAGCATGACAGCTAGGCACCGGAAGGGTGTTGCAGCTGAGAGATTTTTTCATTTGAGATTATTCAGCGTTGTTGATATACAACACCTTGCTAATCGATCAGCAAACGGTCACCGATTGTCTGTCTCACTGGAAAATCGATTCAACCTAATCTTTAAAGTGAAGCAACGAAGTTTATAAAACGCAACGACGGCAACTAATAAAGATGGTATGGTTCACATCACACGATTATGGCCGCAAGATAGCTCATCATTCCGGACGGCTGTCTGCCTTTATTTCAATTCGTGGTTGGGACCCAGTTTCGGACAAAGGTATATTCTTAAACTCGGAAACATCACAAATCGTTCAGCTGGGTCCCGGGTGAGTCCCTTGAAAAACCTTGCAAATGGGTGTGTATTCGCTAATTTCGTGCAATTTAATTTGAAGTAGAACATAAGGTTGACGGAAACTCGGGGACTGCGCCTACCTGATGAGCCCCAAGAAGGGCAAAACCGGTCGTGGGTTTCAGCAACCTTATGAGTAGTGCATTACAAGTTCTGAATGGTCAACTGACTAATTTTATGAATGGTTCAATCCCAGTTCGCGTCGGGGGTCCTGTTTTCTTGTGAAAGTTTTGAAAGTCACCGGACTACTCACCATGGATTGAAGTTAACCTAAATGTTGTGAGCTGTGAAGAGGCAACGTGTAACTGGAAGTCAGATAGTGGAATACATGCAAAGTGGGGCAGAGGAAAACATAACCCGGCTCAGTACCTGCGTACTCGAATCCTATCCAGAAAGTTTTTAAATATGATTCTCCTTGATATCCCCAAGTTCCCCAACTAAAAGAGGAACGGTGAAATCTAGTCAAAAGTGAAAGTCGGTGCGAGTGCTACTCACAAGTGGCTGAAAACTCTTCGACTGCCCATGACAAGTTTCGTCCTTGTTAGGGCTTATCAGGTACCCGCAGTCCCCAAGTTTCCCGCAGCTTTATGTTCTGATTGAACCCAAGCTGGACATATATTGACGAACACAGTCAGTTGCATATCAGTTTGGTCTCCACGGAAGACTCAGTCTCTGGTTTGGTTTATGATATTCCTTAACTGAATTTGCTGCACAAAGACCGCCTCAAGTTTCATTTGGTACGGTATTCGAGGTATCGCAGTACATTTGCACAAAAGAAACTACTCACAAGCTTGATGAAAACTCCTCGACTGCCCATGAACGGTTTCGTCCATATCGTGGTTCATCATTTCGGCACAATACCCGAATTTCCACTTGTTCTCTCCCTGGAAGCGACAAGCGAAGTAACACCCATCTGTGTGATATTTTTTTGTATTACCGCGCGGTGTGACTGAATGCAGGCGGATCTTTTGTGTATGTTGTGTTGCAAAAGAGTTTGCAGAAAACCTACGAGCAGCTTTCCTTCAAGAGCACTTACAGCGACATTTCAACGAACGTCCAAATCAGTACACGAAGCGACCTTTGTGGAGCGCATTCACTGGAAGAATATCGTAAACGAGAGGCTGAGTTGGGATTCGAGTTAGTCTCCCACGTAAACACAGTTGGTGTGCAAATCAGTATATTTCGTGAGCACAACTCGGCAGTTTACTACGTGGATCTGTCATCTGGGTCTGGATGAGAAGGGCGCAGCTAACCGAGTATCTGCAAAGCATTCGTGAGCACAACTCGGCAGTTTACTACTTCGGTCTGTCATCTGCGTAAGGATGAGATGGGCGCAGCCAACCGAGTATCTGTAAAATATTAACCACTTTGAGAGATATCAAAAGTGCTAATTTGTTCCACAAATAGTACGCAGTTCTGGAAACTAGACATGCTACCTTGATTTGGCGATCGATAAGCTTCTCACAAAGAAATCCATATTGGCACGCCCAGTTTCTTCGTTCTCGATGTATGTTCCCCTAAAGGTAAACCGGTTAAGCCGTTTAAGGTGAAACTTCTGTTGTAGATTGTCTCTGGCTTGAGTATATACTTGTCGAGATGAGAATAAGCGTTTTGTAAACTTTTCCGGGTGGTCGCCATCCTGGAGACTGGAGGCCATTCCCTCTCGGAAGCTTGTACATTTTGGTTGTGTCCAATGGTAGCGAATTCCCACCAAAACCACTGCACTCCACTTCATAAACACCCTTTGCTCACCGAACTACTTAAACTCACCACCGAATCTTCCAGAATCTGTCGGATGGAAAGCATCTGCTTCCACCTACTCGTTAAGCGCATTCGTGGGATGAAATTCACGCCAGGAGTTTTTCTCCTTGAAGTGAACTCATGCCACTTGTGTAAACCAAGCACAGAGTCAAAAAAAATAAAGTTGTGCCGTTTTGCACTGAACGACAGGTATATAGCTAGTAGAGATGACCCCTCTACAACGAACACCCGTAAGAATGATCACTACATATAGGGAACTCGTGCTTCATGGTTCCCCAGTCTCGGTGTAGGAAAACGTTTTACTTTGAGGTATTTCAATGTACTGAAGACTTGCAGTGGAGTTAAAGTGCATATGTCTTTGTTGGAAGGAAGTCAATATGCCCAGAGATTGGATGCGAAAAATAACCCTTCGTATGCATACTGTCAAACCGTTGGACGAGGGTATATCATGAGCAAGGTTAGTGTACCCACTGAGGGTACGTTTTGCCGAAGAAGAAGGTAACTGAATGTGACTCAAACGAACAATCAAGCTCACCGAAATTATCTACATGTTGGTCAGCGTATAGTGTTCTGCTGCTTGAAATGGTGGGACCAAAATTTTTACGCATTCTAATCGCCTATTCTTGCATTGTGTTCATTTATTCAATACACTTGAAC